GTTGCTCTCAACACCTGAAACAAAGACAGTCTACAGAAATGCTACGACAAAGTGTGCAGGGTTGTGGAACAAGGCCAGTCGGTCACCACAGGTCTCGGAGCTCGTGGACGAGATTATTGAGAAGAAGCTGCTAGTACCTTGCACAACTAGGTGGAATTCATTTTATGATGCCCTGGCTCGAATTTCTGGGATACCAGTGGTGGAGTTGAACACCATCTGCTCCAAACTCCAGATGAAATGTCTCAGTGAAAGGGAACTTCAGTTTCTCAGAGAGTACTGTACCGTCATGCATCCACTTACAGTGGCACTGGACATTCTTCAGGGAGAAGAGAATTGTTATTATGGCACACTCTTACCCGCACTGGAAACATTGATGTCCAAGACTCTGGAAAAGAAGAATGGACTACAAATCCTTGTTGGCCTACCAGATGCAATTGTGCAGGTAAGAACTGTGATTTATTTAATCAATTTAATCAATCAGCCTCTTGCTTTGCATTTTATAAACGTCACTCATGTGTGCATAGGCTGTGTGACAGTGTGATTGATATGTACTGTATGTGTGAAACAATAAACCTGCAAAGCATTTTAGCTGTAAAGTGTGCAATGTACATGTTGTACACCATATACAGTAGGTTAGGCCTACACATTCTGTGTCCCTAAAAAAAATGCTCATTATGAAACTAGGCATATAATGTATAATGCAATTGTTAAAAAAAACAAAACTGCTCATTATGTACAACTCAAATGATTTTTTTGTCTTTTGCACTCTTATACATCATTTCAGTCAATCAAAACAAGATTTACAACGGTTCTTGCAAGTGAAGATGCTATCCTGGCTGCTGTGACACTACCCAAGTTCAAGCTACGTTGGTTGCGTGACCAGGAGAGGAAAGACCAGGCCAAGGCAAGTCTGCTCGCAGAATGCCGCAAACGGATCCTGGAGCAGGAGCAGCAACCAGGTACAAGTGCACCCAACCCAACACCACAGCACAGCGCAGGGTCTGCCAAAGAGGCAGAGTTCTTTTCCTTCTCAGAGGATGAGGAATCCTCAGCTGAAACGGAAGTAGCTGATTACCTCAAATCAGGAGCAACAGGTTTAGAAAGTCTCAATCAATTTCCTTTGATAAAGAAAATATCTCTTAGATATAATGCAGCCACTCCATCCAGTGCCCCAGTAGAAAGACTCTTTAGCCTGGGGAGCCTGATTCTGTCTCCGAAGAGGAACAGGCTATCAGATCAAAAGTTTGAGAGGCTTCTCCTTTTGAGGTACAATCATTGGCTTGAGCGCTAGGAAGGAAGACTTTAATGGATGGATGTTTTCTGGGAATGCTGATATGTTTATTTTGAGAGGGGTAGATAGAGCGATAACAAATATTTAACACTACCTTCTGCTGGTCTAAAG